CGCAAAATATGCCCATTATAAAGGTTTCTAGCACATAGATGTACTTCATCACTGCAGCTTAACATTGTAAAAGTTGCATGGTGTTAACTGTGAAAAAAACATCAGGACTGTTTGAAGGGTTGCCTGTGTGCCCTGTAACTCCGGCTGAAGGCACGTGCCCTGGTGCTATTGTCAATCCTGTAATGAGTAACAGGATAATTTGCTGATCCAACCAGTTGCTCAAGGACCATCTGGACGAAGGTTACCTCAAGCCAAGGTTAAACATTAGAATTGCTTGTATAACAAGAAAAGCTTTATCGCAATGTTAAGATTTATGTATTATGCATCATTATAATGAAACACAAGCTGTATTTTATATAAACGATAAGAATATGTCAGTGTGAATAGACCCATATTGTGTAGCTGTTAGTGAAGAAGTGATATTCGGCTAATTAAACGGTCTTGTTTGCCATATAAGGAAATATTTTAGGTTAAGCAAGTAGGTATGGTGGGTAAACAGCGAGCAGGCTCTACGGAGAGGGGGGGGTCACTTCTTACCCCGAGAAGGGAGAATATGGCCTTCCTCCTAGCAACAAGGGACTGAACCTATGAAGAGACCGGAGAAGACCATGACATCCCGGAACTAAAGAGACTATAAGAAGGGGGCTCTAGCAAGGGTAAATTTGCGAGCCCTTGGTGGAGCTGCGACTCCCCGGCCGCCCAGCGCTGCTTTTGCTTTCCTACCTTAATAAATACTTGATGAATCCATTTTGGACTTGATTCGGTTCATTTCAACTATAACAATCCTAACAACAGATCCTGACTTTCAGAGTCAGGCTTAGGTTTGAATGGCTGATTTTTCCCTCTAGAGTGAAGTAGTTCATTCCTGGAGAGCCATATCTGAACCGTTTGTAGGCTTTACAATGCAATGGGTTCATTTGCAATGGAGCTGTGATGAACACATTTTCCATGATGAACCACTCATGCCGTGGCCACCTGCTGAAAAGCCACTGAACCCAGCATGGGAGTTCCCTTTGCAGCCTGGTTCACTGTTTGCTAACTACCACTAGGCAAGTTAGTTTGCACCTAGGGGCACCTGTTCCCCCTTCCACTGCAGGTCTAGAAGCACTGTGGGGGATGAGCTGCTTTGAACTGTTCTGTTGCTCAGGGCTACCTGTACATTTGCTTGTTAGGGCTGCGCTGAAATTGTGAAGATGGCTGGGATCTCAGTAGCACTGTGTGTTATGTCTAGTCTGCTACTTACTGCTTTTGCAAGCAGACAGCTGTTAAGGAAGCAATCAACTCAGCTACAGCTCACTCCTATCTGGGTATTCACATACAGCACTTCCCTGGGTATGGGACACCTACTGCTAACAAAAATTATGCCAGAGGAAGGAAACTGTAATGGGATAGCAAAAGTATCGGTCTTATTGACAACATCTTACTGACAGTTCTGTAGTCAACCTTGGATAGTTTGTACATTAGCCAAGTTTGGTAAAGAGGAAACTTGGGAAAGCTCACAGAGGCGAGATTATTAAGAGTGGGAGATGCTTTAATTGAGGAGCCAAATGAAGGACAAGCTCTAAAAGCTGCATTGCAGGCTCTGAGTGATGAAGGCATAGTTTAGCTTGCAGAGGTTGTTGGGAGTAGTGCTTCTTCCATGCCTGTTCTGCATGGACAACTCAGCTGCTTGTGAACACTGACATTTTATCTTAAAATGCTCTGTTCTGATTCATGGCAGTTGGACACTGTCACCTTCCAGGTCTTTCAAGCTAAGCTGCCTTCCCTTGTCAGGCATAAATCCAATTGAGAGTAGAAACAAAGCAAGGCTTTTAACTGTTCAAGGCATTGCAGACCTTAGACAGTGAGGCAGAGGACATCTCTGGGACAACCCTTGAGAGAAGTGCTCTATCTCAGCGAGCACTGGGCTCAAAGTGGAAATCACAAAGACACATTTTTCACACAAGTAGTTGTGTGAAATGGTCACAAAGATTTATACCTTCTGGAGTCAGAAACTATTAATTGTGTTGTCAGAGTTATCCTTCATTAACAAGTGTTCATCTATTACTATAGCAGAGTTGCTTGCATAATTTCTCCCTACGTTCTCCCTTCTGATATCATCCAGAAGGTGTTTGTCTCAGGTGTTTTCCTTGGTTACTTCTGCTCTTTGTTTCTGAACCACATTGCCCCAGCCCTACCCCTCTCCCCCAATTCAGTAGTCAAATGCTTGTCCGATGGGCTTTAGGTCTCTGTTCCACCTCTCTCCTTCCCCACCTTTAAGCCTTCTTAGTGTTCTCCTTCTCATGCTATCTTTCTGTCACTTCATCATGGCACTGTCCTAATCTTGTGTGTCATCCCTCAGTGATCTAGCCTCT